TTTCCAATATGTAAACCCTCTTTTTTTATATAATTTAAATATAAAGCTATGTAAACCCTTTTGCTTGGAAAAACTAAAACACCCTTCAAAATGGATGGAAAATTGGATGATGTTAAAGTCAGGTGACAAATCATGGATTTTGAAAACTTAAGGTGACATTTTATTTACATTTTTCTTTAATGTGACAAATTGAAACTGATTTATAAGTTCAATGGACATTTCTACAAAAATCCCTTATAATCCACAAGGCCAGCCCTAGAAAGTCTCCTAAAAACGAAGAATGACTCCCCACGTGGACCAAGGCAGAAATTGGCGTTGCGCACTGGAGATTCCTTTCTCAGGACCACTGAACTTCAACTTTGGAGAGTCCAACTGCTTATAATATTATTAACAGACGTATTTGGAATAGGCAGAACATGGTCATGATCGTGATCATGATGCAGAGTAAGAGTTTTTTCCTTCTTCTTATTTTAATATGATGTGGACAAAAATACTGGGTGTCTGTCACGCCCCGGACCCGGGGGTAGGTGGAAATCCCGTGCCCGGTGCGTGAGAAAATAAAATAAAAAGAAATAAAATAAAAAGATGTCGAAACATGAGTTTAAAATAAACTTCTCTTATAAAAATACATCCAAAAACTTACAACTTTACAATAAATAAAGCTCTAACACTCTCATCTAATTCAGCCTCAACTGGTTTATTCCTTTTCTTGCCTACTAATTCATCTGAAAATTTAAACAGGGTGAAGGATGAGCAACCACAGCTCAGTAGGGACATGAGACCTTACCACAGTAGATTGATATAACTAAATTAAGTGACAAGCAATCACACAGCCAAATATCACATTAATAATAATAATAATAATAATAATAATACATGAATGCTCTTCAATTCTAATCCCGTTAATTCATATAATTGGACAAGCAGACCTGCACGTCCCATACCATGCTTATACCACTTGGTCCCGAATGCCCATTTATATGAACTAACACCCATTTCAATCATCCCATAATTCCCCTTTTGTTAGTTATCTTGTCTAACTCCCTTTCGCCAGTCCCGAATCACCCAATAAAAACCATGTGCACTGTGGGATCCCTGAGACCTGGTACCTGCCAAGAGTTAGACTCAACTACACAAAAGACTATTTCCATTACCCTCTTTTCCATTATTATCTTCTCCACCCAACAACTCCAACCAATTACCATGACATGATATAATTATGCCAACATTATTCAAATAGTTCACAATACATAAATATCTCATATCAAGAACATTATACAATATCACACATAATATAGAGTTCACGAAATTTAATTAAATCAATCTTCTGTAAAGGCTCCCAAGAAATCCCTACCTCGTTTCCAAAGCATTGCTCCAATTTAAGAAAATACAAGCTAAGCCTTATATCTCTTCCAAGAATTTCACCATCATCAACACACACACACACACACACACACTCTCTCTCTCTCTCTCTCTCTCTCTCTCTCTCTCTCTCTCTCTCTCTCTCTCTCTCTCTCTCTCTCTCTCTCTCTCTCTCTCTCTCTCTCTCTCTCTCACGTTGCATGATATCTCTTCCTTATTAACACTCCTATTTATAGGCGGTGAGATGGCGGTAATAATCGAGAGGATAATAACTAAAGCCACTATCTTATCTTATACAAAAAGATAACTTGGTTGCCACTCTTTTATAGAAGCTGATATGTGCCAACGCCAGGAGATATATTTCCAAAGGCCATGCCACCTGTTGAACTTATAAACTCCTCCTCAAGCTAAGATAAAGCCTAGTCACCAAATTGTAAGCATGAGCTGTCCAAATGCATGGTAATGCATCAACTAATTTAATGGAAAAAGCCACCTCTAGCTTACTAATTTAAATATATCTCCAAATTAAGATAAGAGAGAACAATCTTTCTCTCCAAGAAAACAATGTAAGAATGCCACGTCTAAACTCTTAATCCATGTTATTAATATATATGTATATAAAGCACCCAATAACCATCTAATAGCATCCAAGGAATAATGAACAAATATATAATTTAAACACCCATTTTTTTTTTTTTTTTTTTTTTTCGAAAAAATGTATATATATAGAATATATATAATAAATAATATGAAATGGTATTATAAAAGTAAAACAACTATAAAGAAAATGGACTCTCACAGTGTCCTTTTTATTTGACAGGCAAGTTTATCTCCTTTTTGACCGGGTATTATTGTGGCTGGCTACTTTTAGAGATAATGAAGGGGCATATATAGCATATTAGCATGCATGAGGGAGCACGGCAGAGAGAGCGAAGAACCAGGCATGAGGGAAGGGAAAGGCAGTGAGGAAAAACAGCTCAGAGGGTGAGAGAGAAGTTGAGTTTGTGCAGTGCTGTGAGCAAGAGAGGGTATTTTCTCTTGGGGTGAGAGTCATCTTCATGGGTTAGACGGATCATAAAGAGTGTGTGTAAGGAGTACATTCTATTGGATACGAGGTAGGATTTGGGTACAAAACTCTTGAGTGGTTATTTTTATACGTACTTACTTGTATTTTTCTTTTGTTATAGTGAAAGTGACAACTCGTTTGGCAGTGTAAAAGTGGAAAGCGAAGCTAAGGGGAAAGTCTCAAATCACACTCGTTTTAGGCGTTATGAAATCAAGCACTGTTAATAATCTAAGTGACAACTCGTTCAGTTTTCATGTTTCCATTTCTCCTGTTTCCGTCTTATTTTGCTTAACATTCCACAAAGCACTGTTAACTTCGAAGTAAATTTAAAAAAATAAAAACTCAAAATTGAAGTAAAAGATAAAACGCAGTAGGCAGTGGCCACCCAAGCATTCCAGAACATGATGCAGGAAAATGGGAGACAGCTTTCACGTGTGGCCCCCTTCTTGTCTTTAGATTTTTGTGGTCGAAGGCCCCTTCTTCTTCTCTTGCTGTGGAATTTGGGGAGCCTCGACGAGAAAAACTTGCCTGTTACATAAGGGCTTCCCCAGCTAAGGAAAAACGGACACCTAATATTTTAGCCACATCATATTAAAAGATTATCTCCTTTTTGACCAGGTATTATTGTGCCTGCCAGCTCAGTATCTCCTTATTTGACCGGGTATTGTTGTGGCTGCCTTGAGTTTGTGCTCATTAGAGCGTCTACAGTAACTTGAGTTTGTGCTCACAGTCACAGATTATCAAAAGCAACGCTATGCCATAACGGTTGGTGGCGTCGTCCAAGTTTTTTTTGAGTCTGACGTGGCGTCTCTTTTGACTAGGTTTGTCGGATGTTTAAATCCCATAGGCGCTCCAACGCAAGTCTCTCTTTCGTGCTTTCCAAATGGGGGCTGCGTGACTGCGTTGTTGCACGTGCTTTGTAGGAGCGTGAGAGTGTGCTTCTGTGGTGGTTGGTGCTTCTGTTATTTACGATTTTGACACCTGTTCACCACCTATATAACGAATACGCGATGTCCTTTCACGTACAGTGTCCTGCGTTTCTAGATTCTAGGGTCAAGAATTATAAAACAAAATGGCTTCCTTCCCTCTCCCTTGGACCCAATCTGTCCGTTTCATGCTCTCTGCGACTCGATGCTCCCTTTATCGGCTGCAGTCTCACTCACTGAATAAGAGCCCAACTAACTCATCATGTGGTGGAAGAACAAAAAGAACAAAAAATCCAGGCAGCCGATTGAGCCGGAGACGCCGATCGAAGCCAGATCCTCCTCCTCTGTCCCAACAGAAGACCGTCCTCACTCCGTCAATTCCCTCACCAACTTCTCCTCCAACTCCTCCACCTCCCTCAAATCTCACATCAAATCCTCCCTCCCCGAAAACCCCATCATCTACGACATGTCGGATATCCGCCACGCTTTATTCAGCCGCCGCCGGGGCTCCTCCTCCTCCTCCTTCCGCCGCTCCCTTTGCGGCAAAGACGTCGTCATTTTCCAGCGCCTCTCCCAGATCTCCAAATCCCACCACACCAGCCTCATCAAGCTCCTCGGTGCCTCCCTCTCCGGCTACTACGTCTACCTCGTCTACGAATACGTCCCCGGCGCCAACCTTGCCGACTGCCTCCGCAACCCTAACAACCCCGACTTCACCGTTTTTTCCACGTGGCTCTCCCGCATGCAGGTCGCCGCCGACGTCGCCGACGGCCTCAATTACATGCACCACTCGTCTGGCGACAACTCCACCTTCGTCCACAACCACATTAAATCCTCCAGCATCATCATCTCCGAGCAGAAAAACCTCCCGCTCAGAGCCAAGATCTGCCATTTCGGCACCGCCCGGCTCTGCGGCGAGACACAGGCTCTGTCCTCGACGGTGGAGGGCACCAGAGTGTACATGGCGCCCGAGTCTCAGCTGACGCACAAGTGCGATGTCTATGCCTTCGGGGTTGTGCTTCTGGAGTTGATTTCAGGGGAGGAGCCATTGATGGACGGCAATGGAGGAGGAGGTGGAGGAGGGTGTAGGAGGGTGAGTGTGATCGAGACGGCGAGGGAGGCTGTAAGTAGCGGCGGCGGGGTGAGGAGGTGGGTGGATCGGAGGTTGAACGACTCATTTCCGATGGAGGTGGCGGAGAAGATGGTGAAGGTGGCGTTGGAGTGTGTGGAGGAGGATCCGGACAGCCGACCCGACATGGGTCGGGTTGCGGGTTTGGTTTCGAAGCTGTTTTTGAAGTCGGAGAGTTGGGATAAGAAGATGGGCCCGCCTATTGACATGACAATTTCATTGGCCCCTCGGTGATATTACTACATTGGTTCAATTTCGGTTGAACAAATTGTGAATAGGGAAGTTGTGTGTGGGATTGGGGATGTGTATATACTTGTGTTATACTTGATTTGATGCTGTGAACAATTTGACATACGAGAAACTGATTGGCCACTGATTTGAAGGAAGTTGTTTAGTTGAGGATATTAGACGGCTCAATTGAATATTGGTGAGACGTTCTTTCAACCGAGACAAGGCAATGGGGTAGCTCATGCTCTAGCTCAATATGGATTAAGGGAACAAAATCAATGTCACTGACATGGGAATGCTGGAATCAGATATTGAGGGGGTAATTGCTTTTGTTCGGCTGTATTGGATGTCGTGGTATACTTTTTTCTTGACCAGATTTTCTTTATAAGTTGGGGTTTTTTAAGGCAATATTTTAACGATCGTTGCATCCATCATTTTCATTACTATTTGTAATTGGTTTCTATTGAATGAAGTTCTTCCATTTTGATATATTTTTTTAAAGTCTTCGGTCTTGGCTATTTGTGGAAAGATATACCTCTTAAGTTTAAGAGCAAAAATATAATTTCCATTTTGACCGACTCAGCAAACTGGATAATAATTATACTAGGCATTGTTATCTGTACAAGTATTCAAGTATTATTCTGCGCACACCTAGTAAGAATCCATGCTATACCTCTGGGGTTCACTCCAGCATGTGCAATGCTTATCGAATTTTATAATGCATAATTGCATATAACAACTATTCTTCACAACTTGACAGCCAGATACTCTATTACCATGGGGCTTTTGCTTTCGTACGCACCCAAAAGCATCATGCCTCTCTCTCTTACCAAAAGCTCCAGTTTCAGCTCATTTTCCACCGCCAGAAAAACCACCCAGAAAATTGTTCCAATTCCAAGGTAGGTTCTTTCTTCAATATCCACTGTTATTTATCATGTGGATCTGATTTTCAATAGATTAGATTATGTTTTCTGAATCAGAGTTGAAACTTGTCTGTGATTTTAGCTAGTTGCTTTGACTTTTCCGATTGATTTTCTTTTCAATCGATAATTTTAATGAACTCGTGTGCAGTTCAAAGCAGTAACAACAAGGTTGTATTTTTCATTAATACTATGTCTTAATTTTGATCAGTGAGATCAGTGGCCGCTCCGGCAGAAGCTGTTGCCGGGTTCGGTGACACGGTTCTGGGACTCAGAGAAAGTATATATTACTTGTTAGGTGGGAAGTCACTTGCTGTAAAATTCGCTAATATTGGGCATCCCACTCCTTGAGTGATTCCTTTGCTCAGGTTTGAAACATTCTTTCCCTGCAAAGTTGAACTAAACCGGTTGTAATGTGTATTCGTGTATGTGCGCAAACATATCATAGTTATGCATGTTATCTTGTCCTATTGGATTTGGCTGGAGGGACATTGTTTTTTTGCTCTTGAGGTGTGTGGGGTTAGCTTTGTATATGAGTAAATGCTATTTTTCTTCACGTATTTCTGTTTCCAGTATTTATTTGATGAGATGACCTTACAATGATTCATTGGTTGTCAATGTTTCTCATGATGGTGTTGTAATCTTATACGTAGTACTATGTAATCAAGATAAGGAAATCTAGAATCCAAATAAACTCTAAACAGATAAGAAAACTCATAATCAAGCATGGGGTTAGGGCTTTAGAGAATCTCACCTCAGGATTGTCACTGAGCATTCATCTTCGAAGCAATAGGGCTATAGCAATTGTCTTCTAGCGAATGAGGGAGCTGGAGTTCTTGAATGGTCCAATGGTCGAGGAAAGTTTGTTTGAGACTATCGAAAGAGTTGATAGTACGAGGGTTTAGCCGGTAAAACCAGTTCAAAACGGCGCCATTGAGGGTGGAAGGGAAAAAAAAAGCACATGTCTTCATCACTAAGACCCTTGCACCCTAAGGCATACTGAAAAGAATGGATGTGGGTTAGGGGGTTCTCCTTACCCTTGTAGAAGGCGATGCAGAGCGACTAAACATCCTTCTCCTAACGATAGTTGAGGATATGCTTAATAAAGGAACCAGGGCATGGCTTCGTTCAAAGAGGCTGATGGTTGCGGTGTTGCTTGTCTTCAAGACGAAGGACTTTCTAAAAAAAAGTCGCATGGTAGGGTTGGTATGAGGGAGGGCGTCAGGTGCTGAAGACTTGTTGCATTGGTTGGGTGGAGGGGGATAAGTGTTTCATTCTCCGAAAGCCTCGGAATGGTAAGGCTCCCTATCCTCAGGGTCATAAGGTTCCTAATCGTCTGAGTCCCTAACCCCCTCCTGGGTAGGCAAATAGGTGGGCTTCAATAGGGGACCAAGGTGAGCCACCCGTGGGTTATCGAGGTCTACAGGAATAAGGATGGGCTTTGGCCGAAGCTCCAAGATGCAGTACCTACAATCCCTGAAAATCTTGGTTGAGGCATGAGGTCGATCCCTTGGTGGGAAATTTGGATGAGTCTCAACTTGGTCGCTTCAAGATGAAGGTGGCCTTTGCCTTTGTCAGGTCTAGGCTGTGTTGGGGCATTATGACGGGAGATGACTGGTTGGTTTGGTTGGGTGCGCTTAACACCCTAGGTGAGGTCCTACTGGGTGAATTGGTGGTAAGTGTTCTCCCAATTACGCTTTAAGGTTCTGCAGTCGTGCTCTAATTCAGCATTCTTGGTACGAAGGTGTTCGTAATTCTTTGTTATCTTGGCGACACTAGCACGGAGGCATTTCACTTCGGCCTAGTGATGTGTATCGGTCAAAGGTTTTCTTCTGGAGGAAGCCCCTAGACAGGTATGGTGTTGGGTATCAAGGCTAGCTTCACTCGGCATAGCGGAGTGTGGAGAACAGAAAAGACGACGGGGTTGGATGAGAGATGGAGCCAGCGAAACTGGTGGAGATGTGGGATTCGGAAATCGATTCCCACAAACAGTGCCAAACTGTTGATGCTCTTTTTGGGAGAATCAACTTAGATAAAGAATGTTGGGTCTTCAGTAGGGTTAAAATGTCGTAACCTTCGGAATAGAGGGGTCCTGTTGAAAAAGACAAAGAAGAAGCAGTCGTCAAGCTTCGGACATTAGTGTGATACTTGCCGAAGACTCTTCGATGCTTAAGTTAGCTATATGTGGTAATTTTGGCAGAGTAATAGTAAATGTGAAAAGTAGTTACCTCGTTTTGGGGATTTGTGCCCCTTTTTATAGAGAGGTGAAAATGGGAGTTTGCATAAAGTTTCGATGTGGGACTTTCGTGTCCGCGGGTTAGGTTCTGTAGTTGAGAGCTTCATCAACTACTTTTGGCAGGCGGTTGCCGCATCGGAGGGGCCTCATGGCGTCGTTGATGTTATCTTGAGCAGGCTTGTGAATCTATTCATGCTCCAATTCGCAGTGCCTAATGTACCTGGTTAAATATGGTATAAACAATTACCAAGCTCATTATCTGACCCCAAAACTTATATCAAGTCGAATATAAACATCCACAAAAAAGAAAAAACACAAATTGAAATTTAGTAAGCCGAGGTGAAATAAGGAGACAAATTATGCACTAGGAGGAAGAGGATACAAATTAAAAAATATAGTAAATTTGGCTTACACCCTTCAAATTCAATTTGTCATACCTAAAACCCTTCACTTTTTGTTCCTATAAATAATACCCAATTTGTATAAGTAAAAACCCATGACTAGGATCCAATTCAGCAAGTTACCTAATTAAGCATAAAATTTGATTTATTGTACTTTTCAGATTCCAAAAATACCCCCAACTAAGCCATTATTGCATTTTGTATATTAATGTATGAATCAATATGGAAACAGTTTTTAATTGGATTGTATATAATGACAGATGTTGAATTTGGAAAGATCTCCAAATGGTTGTAATGGATGTAGGAATTTATTTTGGAACATTTAAAAAAAAAAATTAACAATAAATTCAAATTTCGGTAATTGGTTTGTTTAATAAAATGTTTATGTTATTTTCTTTTTATGAATTATACATGACTAATAATCCACTTTATAATTGTTTATGAATAAAACTGTACATACTAATTATGTTGAAAAAATAATGTACCTATTTGTTTTATGAAAAATATAATTTACCTAGTATGAAAAGTGTACATAATTATCTATTCCAATCAAGGATTGAAATATCGGCCGATACACCGATATATCGGCCGATATATCGATATTTTGAACTGTCGACACCGATATTGGGGGGTAAGGTCATATCTTCCCCGATATCGACGATATATCCCCGATAAGTGCGATATCCTCGATATTTTGCCGATATTCTCGATATTTCCCGATACCCATAACAAAACCCAAAAAAATTCAAAAGTTTTGAAGCAAATTGAAATTGAAAAGATTTTTTGGAGGTATATGTGCAATGATTAGATATATGTGAGAAGGCTTTTGGCAATATTCAATTCAAAAGATGTTTTGGAGTATGCATGTTTTAGAGTATGCATCAAAAGAATCTAGACCTAGTACTAACTCAAATGAATCTTATGATGGCTATGGTTATGTCATGTCTGATTATAGTGGAACTAGATATGAAGCTCAAGATGATGAAACAGATTATGGACCTACTAGTTGGGTTAATCCTAACTATCCCATATATGGGAGGACAGTAGGGAGCTCAAGAAGGATATATGTGCACCATGTTCAAACATGGCTTACAAACTACTCGGGTTACATGACTTGGTATGATTATTGTATGAATCTAGATGGTTATTCCACATTGTTTGAACCTCATAGGAGCTATTCATTTATGTAGTTGGACACTCATCTAAATTGTAATCCAATGTTCAAATAAACTATGGATTTATGCATGGTTTATTCATTCTAATCAACTTTTTATTTTCAAATTTTTCATTAACGCGTATTACATACCACTTATATTTCATCATATATATATACATATATCTTATTATTAGTAAATTTTGAGTTTTATTTGTTCAATACATTCATTGACAATGTACATAACATCTATGAAAGTTTTACACCAAAATTATGTGTTTCAATGCTTATATCTGTCATTTTTGTTGATTTTTTCCCGATACCCAAAACGATAACGATATATCCCTCGAAATATCCGTAAATTGGAGGCCCGATATTATCTGCACGGCCGATATTTTAATCCTTGATTCCAATATACCTACATTAATTTTAATGTACTTACAATTAGGATTTAGGTATTATATGTCATCCAATGTACCTACCATTTGAATAATATACCTACTACGAATAAAGTACCTATTATTTATCTATATAATGTACCTATTTTTTTCTATAAATAATATAGCCTTTTTTCTCAGAATAAAGTACCTATTATTTGTTTTATTAAAAGTAATTTTTTTAAATTAACCTATTTTCTCTCTCCAAATAACTTACCAATTTTTTTCCTCTAATAATGTACCTATCTTTCCTCTCCAAATAATGTACCTATATTTTATATAAATTATTGTGTACCTATTTTTAATTATGAAAAATATACGCAATTACAAAGTAACTGACTTTTTTTTTGGGGGTAAATAATATACCTATATTTTATATGTATATATTTATATTATATTTTTCATAGGTACATTATTGGATATGTAATTTACAGATTTTTTTTTTGTTTGCAATTTTAGGGGGCAAGATGTGAGAGGGAATGACAACTAAAAGAAATGGGGTGATTGATATGCTATTAATAGGGAGTATATTAATTACAATTATGGCAGTTAATGAAATGCTTGAAATAAATTATAAATAAAATATGAAGTTTAGTGGCAACGATGTAAAAACATAGAAATATTACGACCTCTTATATCATACTGGTCATTTAAATTTGAAATTGGGTTTTACACATAGATTTATAGAGGGATGGGTATATGTCTAGGAAATAGAAAATGTAGGGATCTATATTGGACAAACCCTAAAAAATAATATTGAACATTAATTTTAGGACTAAAACATGATGTTTGCTTAATGTGGGCTTTTACCATTTCACAATTCTCATGTATTTTCAACATAGATAAAAGAAATTGGGATTTGTTAGGCTTAAGTACCATAATTTGTAAGCCCATAGGCAGCTCGGCTCAGCCACGATTTGAAAGAATATAATGACCCATTTAATATTAACAATGATATATTGCATTTAATATCCTTTTAAATGTAAACTAGTATTGACCCAAGGGCTTACCTCAGTGTTGAGGTTCCTCGCCCTTCCCCTCCTTGGTCACTTGTTTGAATCTCAGGAAAAAGGCCCCTCTCCCCCCTCTTTCATGCCTGGTTAGGAGATTGAAATACCACCTTATGAGTTTTAAAAACTAAATAATTTGCTCAAGTAAATAGGAAGTGAAAAACAAAAACAAAAAAGAAGAGACAGAGAGAGAGAGAGACAGAGAGAGAGGATGAATGTAGATAAAAGTATAAATAGAGAGCATATAAGGAAATAATTAAAGAGGGAGAGAGAGAGAGAGAGAGAGAGAGAAGGGATAGAGGCAAGAATTTTTTTTATTTATAAATTATTATAAAGGAAACAGAGAGAGAAGAGAGAAGGAAAGATAAGAAAAAGGAAGAATAAAAAAATAGATTAATTAGAGTACGTGGGACATTATCAGTTTGTCTTTTATGTTTTTTTTGGGTCAAATATCATCCTCAACTACATTATTATTTATTATATTTAGCTGTCAAGGACAATAAAGTAGTTTTACATTTATTATATTTAAATCATATGTAATCAATAAATTGAAATGTGAGAGAGTTAAACACAAATATAATGTTTATTGCTTTCCAAATATGGAATGGGGGCTTCTTACTTACCCAAAAAATTAAAAAAAACAATAAAAAAATGGAATGGGGGCTGCGCAACTGCGTTGTTGTCGAGAGTTAGTACACGCACTTAGTAGGAGCGTGAGAGCGTGCTTTGAATTGTGCACATTAAATAAAGCATCTCTTCCAACAAAATAAATCCTCTGAGCACCTTTTCCCTCTGTCCACGTATGTAACACCCACTTAACACTGTTTTTTTTACGTGAATGTTTCTATTCTATTTGGTCTTGTGTTATTAACCACAAATTTAAATAAATAAATAATAATTGGTCTTGTGATTCTAGATTGGATTCTATGAAATTTGTTATGGCCAATCTGGATTTTTTTTTGAATTGGTCAAGAATCTTGGATTTTAGGAAACAAACCAAATGGTATTGTTTCCAAGTTCCCTCTTCCTTTTCACGCTCTCTGCCGCTACTCCTCACTCAGCTCTGTTCCCTTTATCTGCTGCCGTTTTACTGGCAGTCTTAGTCATTGGATCGAAACATTGACAAAGAACCAAGTCCCAAGTTCCAACTCATCATGTGGACGTGGGGGTGGAAAAACAAAAAGAACAAAAAGGGCGGGCTGGCGATTGAGCCGGAGAGCCCCATCGAAGCCAGATCCTCCTCCTCTGTCCCAACAGAAGACCGTCCTCACTCCTTCAATTCCCCCACCAACTTCTCCTCCAACTCCTCCACCTCCTCCGCCTCCTCCCTTAAATCTCACATCAAATCCTCCCTCCCAGAAAACCCCCTCATCTACGACATGTCGGATATCCGCCACGCTTTATTAAGCCGCCGCCCCGGCTCCTCCTCCTCCTCTCGCCGCCGCTCCCTTTGCGGCAAAGACGTCGTCATTTTCCAGCGCGAGTCCGGCCTCCCACTCTCCAACTCCGACTCCGACTCCGACATCTACCACCGCCTCGCCCAGATCTCCAAATCCCACCACACAAGCCTCATCAAGCTCCTCGGTGCCTCCCTCAACGGCCACTACGTCTACCTCGTCTACGAATACGTCCCGGGCGCCAACCTTGCCGACTGCCTCCGCAACCCTAACAACCCCGACTTCACCGTTTTGTCCACGTGGCTCTCCCGCATGCAGGTCGCCGCCGACGTCGCCGATGGCCTCAATTACATGCACCACTCGTCCGGTGACAACTCCACCTTCGTCCACAACCACATCAAATCCTCCAGCATCATCGTCTCCGAGCAGAAAAACCTTCCACTCAGAGCCAAGATCTGCCATTTCGGCACCGCCGCGCTCTGCGGCGAGACACAGGCTCTGTCCGCGACGGTGGAGGGCACCAGAGTGTACATGGCGCCCGAGTCTCAGCTGACGCACAAGTGCGATGTTTATGCCTTCGGGGTTGTGCTTCTGGAGTTGATTTCAGGGGAGGAGCCATTGATTGACGGCAAAGGAGGAGGAGGTGGAGGAGGGTGTAGGAGGGTGAGTGTGATCGAGACGGCGAGGAAGGCTGTGAGTAGCGGCTGCGGGGTGAGGAGGTGGGTGGATCCGAGATTGAAGGACTCCTTTCCGATGGAGGTGGCGGAGAAGATGGTGAAGGTGGCGTTGGAGTGTGTGGTGGAGGATCCGGAAAGCCGACCCGACATGGGTCGGGTTGCGGGTTTGGTTTCGAAGCTGTTTTTGAAGTCGGAGAGTTGGGATAAGAAGATGGGCCGGCCTATTGACATGACAATTTCATTGGCTCCTCGGTGATATTACTATATTGGTTCAATTTCGGTTGAACAAATTGTGAATAGGGAAGTTGTATGTGGGATTGGGGATGTGTATATACTTGTATTATACTTGATTTGATGCTGTGAACAATTTGACATACGAGAAACTGACTGAGAACAATTTGATATACTTGTATCTTATTTGAAATGAAGTTGTTTGACCTATGTAAAGAGCCAATGGCTACAGTCAAGTCATGGGGCTTTGCGACGTTGTGTGCTGCCATCCGTGAAGGTTTGATATTGGCTGTGCAGTTGGGGTTCAATGGTATTTTGGTGGCCATTGATTCGAAGGAAGTTGTTTAGTTGAGGATATTAGACGGCTCAATTGAATATTGGTGAGAGGTTCTTTCAACCAAGACAAGGCAATGGGGTAGCTCATGCTCTAGCTCAATATGGATTAAGGGAATCCTCAATTGAATAAGGGAATGCTCAGTTGTATTCTTATAGGTTCTTTAAGGCAAGATTTTAACAATGGTTGCATCCATCATTTTCATTACTATTTGTAATTGGTTTCTACTGAATGAAGTTCTTTTTTTTTTGATTTTTTTTTTTTTTTTTTTTTTTTTTTTTTTTTAAGTAAAAAAATAATTATTATGTCTGTACAAATATCCAACATGTGCATAATGCTTATCGAATTTTATAATGCATAATTGCATATAACTTGACAGCCAGAAACTCCATTACCATGAGGCTTTTGCTTTCATCCGCACCCAAAAGCATCATGCCTCTCTCTCTTACCAAAAGCTCCAGTTTCAGCTCATTTTCCACCGCCAGAAAAACCACCCAGAAAATTGTTCCAATTCCAAGGTAGGTTCTTTCTTCAATGTCAACTGTTCTTTATCATGTGGATCTGATTTTCAATAGATTAGATTATGTTTTCTGAATCATAGTTGAAACTTGTCTGTGATTTTAGCTAGTTGCTTTGACTTTTCGGATCGATCGATTTTCAATCGATAATTTTAATGGGTTTTGAACTCGTGCGGTTCAAAGCAGTAACAACAAGGTTGTATTTTCATTTATACTATGTCTTAATTTTGGTCAGTGAGATCAGTGGCCGCTCCGGCAGAAGCTGTTTCTGGGGCTCAGAGAAAGTATTACTTGTTAGGTGGGAAGTCATCACTTGCTATGGGCATCCCCACTCCTTGAGTGATTCCTTTGCTCAGGTTTTTAAAACATTCGTACTTATTAATGTTATAAAGTATTCACATTTCTTTTCCTGCAAAGTTGAACTTAACTGGTTGTAATGAGTATTCATGTATGTGCATAAACATATTATAGTTATACATGTTCTTGTCTAGGATTTGGCCGGAGGGACACTAGCTTTGTATACGAGTATATTGCTAATTTTCTTCACGTATTTCTGCTTGCGGTATTTATTTGATGAGGTGACCTTAAAATGATTAATTGGTTGTTACTGTTTCATAGGATGTGGTTTTGTAATCTTATACATAGTACTACGTAATTAAGGAAATCTAGAAATCAACTCTAAACTGATAAGAAAAACTCAGAATCAAGCATGGGGTTAGGGCTTTATAGAATCACACCTTGGTACTATCATTAAGCATTCATCTTCGAGGCAATAGGGCTTGAGCAACAGTCTTTTTGTGAATGAGGAGCTGGAGCTATTGAATGGTCCAATGAAAGGGCAGCCAGAGATTGTGAGAGAGGGAGATAGAGAAAGACGTCAAAGATTGAGAGAGAGAGAGGGAGACGAAGAAAGAAGTCAAAGAGATAGAGAGTGAACGTTGTGGTCTAAAGAGAAAAAACGAGGGTGAAAAAGGAAAGAGAGATATTTTTGGCTAGAATTATGACGTACTAAAGTTGCACTCTTAATATTTTTTAAAATATTTCTGATTAATGGCATATATAGAAGCACACCATTGAAAGACGCACAAAATTACAATTTTAAGAGGTGCTTAATATGTTGTATAAATATCAATTATTCACCACGTACATAAAAAAAAGTGTGCCATACATAAATTTCGTGCCGTAGAATCTCCAGTTTGGTGTAGTGAGTACGTAGTTAAACTAATAGCTATACCACTGATACGTTGCACACATTGCATGCACACTTTTATGCTCACATTATGATCTATGGAGCCCTAAAAGGAGCATATCTATACCAATATAGATTCACTTATGCTTAATGGTGAATGGTGATCCTTGCTTCTCTTTAACCTTTGTGTGTTTCCTTTTAATGATGGTTGAAGGTAGGAGAGTGAAAACTGGGACACGTACTAGACACATCTCCTCCTGATTTGGATGAAGCTATTGCAATTTCCCAGGTGTGTCTTTTCTGGCTTGCCAACATGCACAAAATCTTTTTTGATCTTCTATTAATGTTTAGTCCTCTTTCGAGGTGAGCAAATATTGATGCTGTTTTTGTCACCTTAATGATTACTTTTTAGATGGAATTAGTTCACTATGATGGCATATACGTCACACATTGCCAGACTTTTTGGATACATCAATTGCTTGGAAGTTGGCTAAATACGTTCAATGTTGGATGAAAAATTTGCTTCTCATCGATTGTTCACACTTTTTTTTTCTTCTTCTTCTTCCCAAGGTGATGGCAGTCAGTGAGTCATCTAGGTTGCATGCTTATTTGACGAAGGAAAGTGTTCCTGTGAATCATCTAGGTTGCATGCCTATTTGATGATGGATGGTGTGGATCCAAGACTCTGACTTTCTTGTGATCAATCATAGTTAGGCTTTTCCTAGGTTTTTAGGGTTTTAATATTACGTGAGAAAATAATATGCATGAATCAAATGACTAAACATAAAGACGAATGATCCTTGGTATCCAAGGAAGGAATTTACAACAACATGGGAATAAATGACAACAAATCCATGCATCCTTCAGATGCCTAGTAAATTCCTTGGTTATATTGTTGTTTTTGATTTGTCTTATCCCTCTTTTACATGTTTTGCCTAAGAAACTAGCAATTCTAATCACAACCTCAATTGGCAAGATATTGGTGTCAAGTTAGAATGAACAACTATGGATATGTGTGTATGTGTGTGTGTGTCTTTTTCTTTTTGGAACAACTATGGATATGAAAAACTTAGAGTCAATTTAGATAAGAAAAAAATAACAAAAAGAATAGGCTAGTCTGGTTGGATCTTGGAAGGCAATTTCCTCTGGTCCTTGGATCACTTGATTATTGTAGCATATTGTATTTCCTTGTAAAGATATGGCTCTAGTCTCAAATGAATTTAAGCATTCTTATCTGTGTAGGCATTTTTGCTACTAATTTCTTGTTCTCTTATTCAGCTTAAACATAAGATATCTTCAGCCACCTTTCAGCTATCAAATCTGTCTTTCGGCAAGAGCAACCTCAACTGGGCGCGGTAAGCGTGATGCTTTGAGCTGGTTTTATACTCTGCTTCCTAGACAAGTATGCTAACCTTTTTAAATCTAAAACTTCAACACAGGCTGACAAATTAGAGCGACTCAAAGTCAGAGAGACGATGATTAAAGTGTGTGAGCTTTTCTGCGAAACTGATTCCACAGAGTTTGTCATAGTAACAATACCCAGGGTAAGATCTTTGCAAACGTGATTTGATACTGGATGTTATTGATTTTTTTTGTTTTTTTTGTTTTTGTTGCAAATGTTGGTTTTCTTTATGCTGTAATTTAATATGTTATGAGTTCGCTTTGATAGAGACCAGTTTACTTGATTTATATTCTACAATGTAAAATTTAATCTTGTCTAGAGAAAAAACAAGGGAAAAAGAAAAGAGAGATATTTTTGGCAGGTTGCAAATAGAATTATGACGTACTAAAGTTGCACTTGTAATATTTAAAAAAATATTTCTGATTCATGGCGTATATAAAAGTATACCGTTGAAAGACGCACAAAAATTACCATTTTAAGGAGTGCTTAATATGTCGTATAAATATCAATTATTCACCATATGCATAAAAAAAGTGTGCCATAAATATCAAGCTGTAGAATAGTTTGGTGTAGTGAGTACGTAGTTAAACTAATAGCGAGCTAAACCACAGATATGTTGCACACATGTGCATGCACACTTTTATGCTCACATTATGATCTATGGTATGGAGCCTTAAAAGGAGCATATCTATACCAATATAGATTCACTTATGCTTTATGGTGATCCTTGCTTCTCCTTAACCCTTGTGTGTTTCTTTTTAATGATGGTTGAAGTTAGGAGAGTGAAAACTGGGATAATTACTAGACACATCTCTTCCTCATTTGGATGAAGCTATTGCAACTTCCAAGGTATGTCTTTTCTGGCTTGCCAACAAGCGCAAAATCTTTTTTACTCTTCTATTAGTTATTACTTTTAAGCTGGAATTAGTTCACTATGATGGGATATTGTTGAAGGAAGTTGCGGTTCCACCCCAAAACCAATTGGTAATGGGGGGAGTAGCTCAACTCCTTATAAGCCCTTGCTAGGTTTCTCAACGTTCTAATGGGAGACTTTTTACCTTCACATTCTCACAATTGTTAATAGGGTCACACATTACCAGACTTTTTGGATGCATCAATTAGCAAGATATTTAAGGTAATAATTAATGATGTCAACTTAGAATGAACAACTATGCACTTTGCAAATGTTGTTTTTGTTTATGCTGTAATTTAATATGTTATGAGTTCACTTTGATAGAGATCAGTTTACTTCTTCTTCTTTTCTTGTTCTTCCCAAGGTGATAGCAGTCAGTGAGTTATCTAGGTTGCATGCCTCTTTGACGAAGGAAAATGTTCCTGTGAATCGACACTTAATGTTAATCCGATTCTTCCCCCGTCCTGTTAAAGTATAAGTGTGTTAGCTGAGTATTTGTGTTACTTGATTTAATTGTAGTGAATTAACTGTGAACCAGTGGATCACAGTTCAATGGACAGCTAAGATGTATTCTTAGTTGTAGTAACGAATTCTGCCAGGTGTAGCTATCTCATAGGATAGTGAAATTGATGGTTAGATTTGGATCATGTAAAAGGGTAATATTCTATTCTCAACAGATATATTTTGCTGCACAGCTTGTGCATGACCAAGTGAGAGAATAGACTTAATTTTCTCATCTTCGTCTCCAAGCTCTCTGTGTTTTCTTTTCTTACTTGAGCTCCATCTACCAATAATCCAAATTAATCAGATTATAGTCTGAGTATTCTAACATGTCCGCCTCAGACTGCAAATTTTGTTCAATAAAAAGAAAGGTATTAATCTAACCATTTTCCTTTTAATTTCAGTTAGGAAATACATTCACTATCCTTTTGGCAGAATGTGCGTTTTTTATTGTGGCATCTAGTAAACTTATGGTATTTTGATGAAACTAATGACCAGTTGAATGCAAGAACTCAGCAAATAGTATGTAGTGTTTATCACCAAGCCAAGGATTTGGCCTAGATGATGGATGGTGTGGATCCGAGACTCTGACTTTCTTGTGATCAATCATAATTAGGCTTTTCCTTGTATTTTTCGTATTTTTAGGGTTTTAATGTTATGTGAGAAAATAATACGCATGAATATAAATGACAAGAAACCGAAAATAGTTAGAAATCAAATGACTAAATATAAAGACGAATGATCTCTTTCTTTCCTTGATCCTTGGTTTAGGGTAGTTGGATCACTTGATTGTAGCATATTGTATTTCCTTGTAAAGATATGGCTCTAGTCTCAAATGAATTTAAGCATTCTTACCTGTGTAGGCATGTTTGCTACTATATAATTGCTTGTTCCCTTATACAGCTTAAACATAAGATATCTTCAGCCACCTCAGCCATCAAATCTGTCTTTGGGCCGGAGCAACCTCAACTGGGCGCAGTAAGCGTGATGCTTTGAGCTGCTTTTATACTCTGCTTCCTAGACAAGTATGCTATAACCTTTTTAAATTTAAAACTTCAATGCAGGCTGACAAATTAGAGCCACTCAGAGTCAGCGAGCGATGATGATTAAAGTGGGTGAGCTTTTCCGCGATACTGATTCCACAGAGTTTGTCATAGTAACAATGGGCCACGGTAAGATCCTTGCAAACGTGATTTGATACTGGATGTTATTGATTTTTTTTGTGTGCAAATGTTGGTTTTCTTTATGCTGTAATTTAATATGTTATGAGTTCGCTTTGATAGAGATCAGTTTACTTGATTTATATTCTACAATGTAGAATTTAATCTTGTAAAAAGATGGATCCCTGCATATTGTATTTCCTGTTTTTTCCTTCCTAGCAGCTAGCATCATTTGCTTGGAAGTTGGCTAAATATGTTCAATGTTCACAATTTTTTATTATCTTGTTGTTGCCAAGTGAATGCAACCTGTTTGAAGAAGGAAAGTGTGTGTTGGGTAATACTACGTTGCATTGGGGTTGAGTTTTTCACAACTTATAGCCGTGAAAAAAAGATGAGTTGATGAAGTGATCTTACATAGACTCAGAATCAGGATGTAATCATGAAGTAGATGTTTGTTTATAATGGGCAGTTGAACTTAACTGGTTGTAATGTGTATTCGTCTATGTGCACAAATATATTATCATTACACATGTTATCTTGTCCTAGGATTTGGCTGGAGGGACACTTTTTGCTCTTGAGGTGTGTGGGGTTAGCTTTGTATATGAGTAATTGCTAATTTTCTTCACGTATATATTTCGGTTGCGGTATTTATTTGATGAGATGACCTTACAATGATTTATGTTTCTTAGGATGCTTTTGTAATCTTACACATAGTACTATGTAATCAAGATAATGAAATCTAGAATCCTAATCAACTCTAAATTGAGATAAGAAAACTCAGAACCAAAAATGGGGTTAGGGCTTTAGAGAATCGCACCTTGGCACTGTCAATGAGCATTCATATCTAGGGCTCGAGCAATAGTCTTCTAGAGAATGATGAGGAGCTGGAGCTCTTGAATGGTCCATCGCAGCCAGAGATTGTGAGAGATGGAGATGGAGATGGAGAAAGACGTCAAAGATTGAAAGAGAGAGGGAGAGATGAAGAAAGAAGTCAGAGAGAGAGAGAGAGAGAGAGAGAGAGAGAGAGAGAGAGAGATGGAGACAATCTCCTCCTGGTTTGGATGAAGCTATTGCAATTCCAGAGGTATGTCTTTTCTTGCTTGCCAACTTGCACACAATCTTTTTTGCTCTTCCTGTTTTTGTCACCTTAATTATTAGTATTTAGTTGGAATTAGGCAAGATATTGATGCTGTTTTTGTCACCTCAACATTGCCAGACTTTTTTGGATGCATCAATTGGCAAGATATTGATGTCAACTTAGAATGAACAACTATGGATGTGTGTGTGTGTGTTTGTGTCCTTTTTTTTTATGGATATAGTTTATGAGCAATTGAACACTCCCTTGAAGTTTGAGAGCAAAAACAAAAGAACACTACTTTGAAGTTTGATAGCTATACCTAATGTTTTAATTACTTGATTCTAATTAAGAAAAAAATAAGGTAAAAAACAAAAGAACATTTCTTTCTTCTTTTATACGCACCAACATAATGTCCTTGGATCACTTGATTGCAGCATGTAGGCATGTTTGCTACTAATTGCTTGTTCTCTTATACAGCTTGAACATAAGGTATCTTCATCCACTCAGCTATCAAATCTGTATTTGGGCAGGAGCAACCTCAACTGGGCGCCGTAAGGCTGATGCTTTGAGCTGCTTTTTTACTCTGCTTCCTAGACTAGTATGCTAGCCTTCTAATTGTAAAAATTCAATGCAGGTTGACAAATTAGAGTGACTCAGGGAGAGGATGATTAAAGGGCGTGAGCTTTTCCACCATACTGATGCCACGGAGTTTCTCATAGTAACGATACCCATTGTAAGATCTTTTGAAAACGTGATTTGATACTGTAATAGTTTAATATGTTATGAGTTCACTTTGATAGAGTTCAGTTTACATGATTTATATTCTACAATGTAAAATTTAAACTTCTAAAAAGATGCATCATGCGCTTGGAAGTTGGCTAAATATGTTCAATGTTCACAATTTTTTTTCTTGTTGTTGCCCAGGTGATGGCAGTCAGTGAGTCATAGGTTGCATGGCTCTTTGAAGAAGGAAAGCGTGTGTTGGATGTAATCATGTGGGACTCGTAGATGTTTTCTTATAATGGGTAGTTAGAGCATAAGGCTTATAATGTTCAATTTTCAAACTTATTTATGTAATGTGCTAATTTGTAAAGGAGAACAAATAGTTGAATTTTGAGAACAACTCTGCATAGATTGCATTAAGATCAACAGTGTGTGTTGGGAAATTGGGTTAGACTTTGTTCACTGCCAAACCCTAAACCAAATCTCTCCTACAAGATACATCCTATAATCCTGGTGCAAATGGGACACCGGTGGATGGCAGCCATGAGTTCCCACCAATAAACTTAGCCACCGTAAAGTAATCGGCCTTGGACTCCTCGGTTTCAATGCTACAATACTCGAACGAGAACCCTGTCGAGTCTTCTGCAAAACGACCACTAGCGGTGAGTGTGTTTTGTTGGCCTTTGATGTTTTTCCTGGCAACAATTTTAGAGCGTTGGAAAACCGCCGTGCCGTAGCCGAAGATAAAGTGGATGGTGCCGCTTGCACCGGTGGAAAGCAGACTGGTCGCCGCCGACTGAAAGCGCAACTGCCTGCCTATTGTTTGGTCCTGCAGTGTTCTCAAATCCTATGTCCATTGCAATGAATCCTTGGGCCCTTACATCTACATGAGCAATCAATGAAAGTTAATTAAAATGGGGCATGTGTTATCTTACTTTGATATTTAGTCTTGCAAAAGAAAATAATGGGAGACATCATGCATGCGCGTGTCTTCAGCTGTAGGAATAAAAAAGAAGAAAAGCTTTTGGTTGGACCAGCAGACAAAGAAGAATTTTTTTTTTTTTTTTTTTTTAAAATTTTATTATATAAAAAAGAATGCGTATGCTTTTCCTTTTCATATAATATAATATATATATGTATATATATATATATATATATATATCGTTTTAGCATATACAATACATATATATGGAGGACTATAATTTTTGTTGTGCCTGCAAAACTTTTGGGCCAGTGTCGTTGCCCTGTTCGCCTTGGATCAGGACCGGGCCTGCATCTAATTTTGGTTGATCCAAATTACATCCTTAAAAAAAAAAAGTTAATAAATAAATAAAACCCACCTAGGTCTTTTTTTTTTCTTCCTGAGTTTAAAGAAAACCTACGTCTATAACGTGATGATCAGAGCATATACGTGTACAAAAATCAATGCTGCGGATGAAACTCTTTCTTCGTTTGGGTGGTTGTTGTATAAGCAAATGCTCTGCGATGTCATTTCGTGTAATTGTCTCACTTTTCCGTTCCTTATAAAAGAATGGCGGCCCGGGCTGGAGCTTCCATGCACAAGTCGTTAAGTATGATGTTTTTGTTCAAAATTGGTTGATTGGTATGGACTCTGTGTGTGGGTTTCTGAATAGAGCACGTACATTGTCTGATGAAATGTTGGAAAGGAAAGGGGTGTTGTTTTGTGGAACTCGATGATTAAGGAGTATTTGCAAGAAGTGGGAATCTTGATGAGGCATTGAATATGTTTGGAAAGATGAATAACAGAAACATTATTATTTGGAATTCCATGATTACAGGGTTTGTTCAAGGTGGTCGGCCATATGAGAATGTGAAGGTAAAGAGTCTCATATTGGAAAGTTGAGAAACTTAGTAAAGGCTTATAAGGAGTTGGGCTACTCCTCCCATTGTCAATTGGTTTTGAGGTGAAACCTCAACTTTCTTCAGGCCAAAGGAGGCCTTGGAACTTTTCCATGACATGCACATCACCAGTGGTGATAGAGTTAGACCAGATAAGATCACAATTGCCAGTGTCCTTGCAGCTTGTTCTCATCTTGTTGCAATTTGATCATGGAATATGGGTGCATGGGTACCTGAGGAGAAGTGGCATGGAGAGTCATGTGGTCATTGGGATAGCTCTGGTTGACATGTATGGTAAGTGCGGATGTGTGGACAAAGCGTATGAGGTCTTTCAGCTCTGATTTCAGTGTTGGCTCTCATGGATTTGGCAATGAGAATTTTGGTATTTTTAGGCAGATGGAAACAATTTGGGTGAAGCCGAACCATGTGACATTTTTTGGGCTATTGTCAGCTTGTGCTCATTCTGGTTTAGTAGAGAAAGGTCGCTGGTGTTTTGATGTGATTAAGCGTAGGTTTACTTAATTGAACCGCAGCTCTATCACTATGCAAGCATGGTTGATATGCTTAGTCGTGCCGGGCTGATTGAAGAGGCAGAACGGTTTATAAGAAGCATGCCAATGAAGCCATATATGCATTTGTTTACTCGGAGGCTGTCAAATACATGGAAAGGTCGAGTTAGGATGAAGGGTGGCGCAATATTTAATTGATTTGGAAACTCTGAACCTGAACTTGTGTGAGATATATGCCAAAGCGAATCAAATCCTTAATGAAAGAAAGAGGGATCGAAAAGGAGGTCCCTGGCTGTAGCATGATTGAAATTGATGGGGTTGTTCTTGAATTCTCTGCAAGCATCCTCACGTACAAGAAAAGGTTGCAAAGGAAGTTAGAGAAGCAACAAATGTGAAAGACAAAATGCATTATCTGGTTGCTGCCTTAACTGAGACAATCAGGCTCTATCCTGCAGTTCCATTGATAAGTTTGACATCTTAAATCTAAAGCATGAATGCAATTAATGTCCAAGCACAATTGCTATTTCAAGCTTATATAAGTAGCACTCCCTAGTTTTTATGAATTTGAATTGTTGATATTACTTTTTAACAAGTTTCGGTAATGTTGGCATAAAATGCGAAGATTTGCTTATCTAATGATACATGGCCAGATGAAAGGGGATATGGTGAGATAACACACTTATGGCATGGCAAGGATGAAATATCTATTGGGTGATGATGCAGAAGAATTTCGGCCAGAGAGATGGCTTGACGAAAATGGCCTTTCTACATTTAAAATTTCAACCAAAATTCAGTTTCGAGCTCTATAAGAAAGAAGAGATGAAAGTTGAGCAGTATATAAAGGGGATTCTCTACAAAAGAGATTTTGAGTATATACTTGAGGTTATATTCTAAAGACCATAAAAACGGTTAGAAGTCTTTTAGGATGTTCAAAATTTTGGCTAGTTTTCAAAAAATTTCCTTCAATATATTTCTCCCCACTGAAATCCAATCATCTTCTTATTCCCGGAACAAAAAGCTCAACTTGTTCAATGTCTTCAAATCCAAGATACCTAAAGATAGATAAGCTTTACCTGTGAACGTTTCAACTTTTCATTACCAACTTCACTATATGACTCCAAAACTTACAGCCCTACCAGTTGAATATGAAAATCCACAAATTGAAGTTTAGTATGGAATAGAGTGGTAAAATAAGGAGACAAATTTTGCACTAGAAGGAAGAAGAGACAAATTTTTTTAAATTAATTTTTCATAAACGTTAATTTCAGGATTGAAACATGGTGTTTGCTTAATGTGGGCATTTTTCCTTTTCACAATTCTATGTGTTCTCAACATAGATCAAAGAAATTGCCACGTGTTAGTTTTTTTTAGTACAAACAATAATTTGAATTGTAAGAAAAAGGGGGTTGCACACACACACACACACACACACACACACACACACTATTGAGGTGGGATTTCAAACCTGAGACCATTGATCTACAAGTAAAGACCCTTTTCACTAGTATAAATGTAACATGACGAAAATAAAAAGAAAACGAAACGCACAATCATTTTTGTTTGTATTGGAGTTTTGTATTTTAGACCACATTGACCATATTTTAGTAATTGTGTTAAGTAATTTTGGTCACTGCAGTAATTAATTAGATAAAATTTAAAATTTTGAATTAGGAAACCAATCCGTTTGTTTTCAGGAGAAAAGTTGTTGGGAGATTGAAAAACTGCCTTATGAGTTTCTAAAACTAAACTTCTATTTTAATTTTCGTGTTTATTTGATAGATAAATTGAGTCGAAGTACTTTTAGCATTAGAACTTATTTGATTTCTTGAAAAATCAAATCTTATAGACATAATCAACCCTTGAGTAATACTCATGAGTTTAAACAAAGTTTTTGTTGTCCGAAGCCAATCAATTAGGGAAAATTTTCAAAATGATCCTTAAATTGGTAACAAATGTCGTTTAAAATTCATTGCTTTAAAGTAAAGTAAAAGACCTTTCTTCAACAACAAGCCTGGCTGTGGATGGCAACCATGAGTTTCCATCAATAAACTTGGCCACTGTAAACTCATCAGCCACAGACTGTCATTTTACCTATTTGCTTTGGCAATGTTGGGCAAGCAGATTCAACCCAACAATGTATAAATATTTATGTTACTTCTAAGGGTGACAGAAGCACTTCAAACGCTTCTTCTTCCACTTTGAAAACTCTAATTAAACTAAATCCCCTATAAGATACATCCTATATATCTGCTTTAAATGGGACACCCGTGGATGGCAGCCATGACTTCCCACCAATAAACTTGTCCACTGCAAATGAATCGGCCTCGGAAATCAAATGATAACCCGGCCACTTGACCCGGCCTGCAACCGAGGCACCCGGACCATAGTTCTTGTACTCAGCATAATACAAAGTATCAAGATTATTTTTCCCACTCCATTCCAGCCAACCCTCTGGCCTTATAATATTACTCATAAAAGACTTGATGAACACGGTACGTGAATATTTGCCCCAAGGTCGACCCAAGTACGTCTTCGTAGAGTTAACATTACCCCCCAAATCAGAATCTGCTTCAATTCTGCAGAACTGGAACGAGAACCCTGACGAGTCTTCTGAAAGTCGACCATTGGCGGTGATTGTGTTTTGTTGGCCTTTGATGGCTTTCCCGGGAATAATTCTAGAGTGTTGGAAAACGGCTGTGCCATAACCAAAAATGAAGTCGACGGTGCCGCTGATCGTGCATTCTCGGTAGAACTGTCGGCCCGACAACACCAGCAATGTGTCTTGGTATCCACTTATCTTGCACCGGTAGAAAACCGACCGGTCGCTGCCGGATGAAAGCGCAACTGCCTGCCCTTTGCTTGGTCCTGCGGTGTTCTCAAACCCTATGTTCATTGCAAGGAATCCTTCGGCCCTTACATCTACATAAGCAATCAATTCACATAATTTTTAAATTACAAACAAAAAATAATAATTGGTTGTATGGAGTGTCAATTAAATAGAACATTAGGGTTTGATACATTTCGGTTCAGGACTCAAACATATTATTTAAAAGGCTAAACTGTTGAGGCAATCCAATTTAATACTCACCACTCCCCTCTTCCTCTCTAGCAAATGATAATAAAAAAAGACTAAACTGTTAATTTCCGCCTAAACTTGTACCTAATTTTCGATTGATCCCTTATCCCCTTGTTTTTAGAAAATTAAGGATCTCAATTTTTTTTAGTCAATTTCTCCCTATCATTAAATTTGCTCACATTCAATCCAATTTACTGTTAAAAATGGTCACATTCCATGCACAGCCCCAGCCCGCTCCCACCAAGCCCATCCTCCCCTAGCCACCCCATCATACTCCCCCAAACCCAGCATCCCCTCTTTCTCCACCCCGCAAACCACTCCACTCAATGTGCCCATGTAGCCCATGGGTGTCTTGACAAGTTTAGAGGAGATCCTTATAATTGACATCCTTAATTTTCTATCAATAAAAAATGGATTAGGGGTTAAATAAAAAATTAGGTACTAATTTAAGTAGAAATCAACAGTTTAGCCTTCTTCTTTTTTTTCTTTTTTTTTAAAAGAAAAAAGAAGAAGTTTTGGTGTCTTACCAAATGTTGCTGACTTCATTGTTGCCCAACCACTAGCATTGCTTCTATCTCCGGATATGGTGGTAACACTCATGCCCTCTCCAATCAACACCAAGTTAGTCTTTGTTTTATCAATCTTCACATATTCTTTGTAAACTCCTTTCTTCACAAATATCACAAACTGCTTCTGGCTATGGCTTGGTGCAGCCGCAATGGCATCCATTATTCTCTTGAATTTCCCACTCCCATCCTGTGAAACAGTGACATCTGCCTTCCGGGAAAGTGCAGGATCATACGGATCAGGATCTGAAACTGGAGCTGCAGTAGCATTATGACGATGAAGATGATGTTGCTGCTGCACTTGGATCATACCAAGGACCTCATCGATTGATTTTGTCACTTGTTTAAGGCTCTCTGCAACATTTGAGTCGATCATATTTTGAAAAGTGTCCACGCATATCTTTTCTCTGGATTGCGAAGTACTTAGCCATGTTCTCATATGGGAAACGACATCAGCTGTGCCATAGATGCAATAATTTTCTTGTCATTTTAACCCAATAAATATATGTATATATACATATATGGCATCTATTAAAATAGTTAGACTATAAAAACTAAAATAAGTTTTACATAAACATCATATGTGTCAATGTCACACATCTATAAACTATGACTGTATCCCAATACACAAATCTAAGTAAATATGTACGTATATGAACCTTTAAGATCATCACTTGTGGAAAGGGACCAATCCAATACGTCAGCAGTTTCATTAAGCAAATCCTCACAGTACGAAATGACCACAACAGTAGAATTGTCATAATCTTCACCAGCATGCATAAGTGACATGGTAGAGGCCACATTTTGCACAAGTTCCTTGGTCTTCTCCAATGAGTTTTTGAATGCAGGCAAAGGAACATTTATCAACTGGGGGTCAACATTATCAGCGCGGGGGTCAATGGAAAGAGAAGAGAAACAAATGATGAAAAAAATGAAATGGGAGGATGACTTCATGAATGGCCTCATGGCACCAGAAAATGTAAATCATGAGAAAAGAGAAGGCAATGGATATGAGTATATATACAGTGCACACCATTTTGTGAGATTGGTTGTATTGGAGAATACGAATTATGGATCATAGTATGAATATGAGTATCTTTGCACCATTTTTCTTTTCTTTTTAAAAGATTTTGTTTCCTAGTTAAACCTAAAACATATCCTTCAAATGAACCAAAGCCAAGGAAAGCATTTAACTTCTTACTTTGCATCAAATCCACCCACTGCACTGAAGATCAACTTGTTTCAATATTTCTTGAAACCCAATGTACCTAAAGACAGAAAGGCATTACCTGTTACCATTTCAACTTTTCATCACCAAGATCACAATTTGACCCCAAAACTTACAGCCCTACGAAATCCAATCCGAAAATCCACACAAAAAGGAAAAAACACAAATTGAAATTTAGTATGGACAGGTAAAATAAGGAGACAAATCATGCACTAACAAAAATCCTGGTGATTATGGGATCCCTGTGGAAGGCAACCTGTGGAAGGCAACAATAATCTTTGAAGAATATGATTTATGGATCATGATATTTATCTTTGGATGACATTTATGGATTATAATATGATATACAATGCACCATTTTTATTTTTTTAAAGATTTGTTACCTATTTACACCTGAAACATATATATCCTTTCAAATGAACAAAAGCCAGGAAAGCATTTAATTTCTTACTTATGCCACAAAATTTCAGACCCTTAAAATTTCAACCAAAATTCGGTTTCGAGCTCTATCAAAGAGATGGAATTTGAGCACTATATTAAGGTTATATTTTGAGAAAAAAGGTTTAGAAGTCTTTTAGGATGTGCAAGTTTTGGCTAGTTTTTCAAAAATTTCCCTTCAATATATTTCTCCCTCTCAACTCCACCCATCTTATTATTTTGTGAACTTCACTAAAGCTCAACTTGTTCAATTTCTTGAAATCCAATGTACTTGTGACCGTTTGACCCTCTAAATTTTTCATTACCAAACTCACTATTTGAACCAAAACTTAGCCCTACTCCTAAATCCAATATGAAAAGAGCATGGTTTGGCTCCTTAAAACAAATGAGGTTTTGACACTTATCAAATTCCATCAAAATTAACAAAGTTTCAACAAAAAAAGAAAAATGAATATTAAAAAAATTTAACACCTGTTAAAACCACATTAATTATAAGGAGGAGCTCCTCCTCAATTTAAGGATCCATATGAAAATCCACAAAAAGAAAAAACACACAAATTTAAATTTAAAAATAATCCACTCTAGCCAACTTGAGTATAGAGTGGGGAGCATATCCACTCTAGCTAATTTGGCTAAAGCCCATGTCTGCTCCCTTATGCACTTTCTAAAACTATATTTCAATTTTAATATTGTCTTTATTTGATATGTGAATGATAGAGGTCGCATTTTGTATAGCTTGCATGGTTTTCTCCAATGACTCTTTGAACACAGGCAGAGAAACTTTTATCAAATGATGGAATGGAAGCCAACATTATTAGCACGTGGGTTAATGGACCAAGAACAAAAAGAAATTATGAGAAAGATGAAATGGCAAGAGGACTTCATGAATGGCTGGCTGATAAGTGTACCAAAAATGAAATGAAAATGATGAGAAACAAAGATAAGATGAATCTCTCTTATAGTTATATGCATACATCTATGTCTATGAAAAGAGGTATGCCAAATTTGATAGTTTTTTTTAAATTATAAATATATATATAAAGGGTAAATTACTCAAATGACTCTCAAACTTATACATGATTTACATTTTGGTCCATCAACTAAATTATTTGTTCAAATGGTTCATCAACTAAATTATTCGTTCAAATGGTCCATCAACTAAATTATTCGTTCAAATGGTCCATCAACTCTATATTATTCGCTCCAATGGTCCTACCGTCTAATTTTCTGTTAGATTAAACCTAATTTTAGGGTAAATAATGACCAATTTGCCCTCATATTTAATGAAAATATTGACAAAATGTAACGATAGGACCAATGGAGCGAATAACATAGAGTTGATGGACCATTTGAATAAATAATTTAATTGAAGAACCAAAATGTAAATCGAGTATAAATTTGAGGATCATTTGAGTAATTTACCCATAAATACATGTTTCAAATTAGAAACGAAAGCATTTAATAATTTTGTAGTTACAAAGATAAAAAAAATGAAATTGACAATAAAGACCCAATTATTTTTAAAACTTATAGCTTAAATCAATGAACCTAGTTGAATCAATTAGGAAATTGACAAAATACATGGTAGAAAAACTTGATATGTAAAGTCAATTGTTACTTTTGAATCCAAAAATGTGATATTTAAGTGATGTTTTGATCCATTTTATAAAGTTGTGTTAATTACATATTTATTGTTTCTTTTATGTTACAATTGTGAATTTGAGTTCATACAATATTTTCAGAGCAAGCAAACCTCTCTTATATCGGTATATTTAGCCATTTATACCATAATTTCTATAATAAAGAAAAGGGGAAAAAATTGTAATAAAAATAAGCTTCTCTATTATCTCGCCTGTCATTTTACCTATGCTTTGGCAATGTTCGGCCAGATTATTCAACCTAACAATGTATTAATTTGTATGTTACTTCTTTTGGGAACTTTGAGGGTGATATAAGCACTTCAAACGCTTCCACTTTGCAAGTCTTGAGAGCTGCAAAAGAATGGTGTGCTGATTGTTGATCTCTGATATCTCACTTCTTCTGAAAGGTCACCATACAAAAGAATGCTACGGCTCGACTAACTATACCGATGAACGTTAGGATGATTATACAAAGGTTCCAATCATGAAGATTATAGCCACTTTTCAAAAGCGACCCGCACCGCGTTATCAGCCATACTCCAGAATACCTGTAGAAAAAAAGGGGAATAGTAGATAATCCAGATCAAACTAACAATTCAGAACAATCTACTAGTAGTTATTGTTATAGTTATTAAATTTTTTGCAGGAGCCAACACTTCCATTTCAGTTCTCGGATTTACAAAGTTAGACTCTATCATGAGCAGATTGCTAGATTAAGGGGTAAAGTTTTCACTTTCAGTAGGTAATAGTATTCTAATCATTTTATAGGGAAATTGGCGCAGTACCTTTCAGCATTTGCAATCACAAATGCTTCTAAAGCCCACCTAGGGTAGCAGAATTTAGCTAAAATCTTTAGAAATTCACTGTCTTGTGGCCGTGTTGCTATAAGGGTCATCACAACTGGAAGAAGGACTGACGACTGCAAAGAACAGCAGTTTGTCAGTAAATATCAATGGAATGTGAAAAACTGAACGAGAAGTTGACAATCTTTTAATTGAGCATTTCGATTACTTACCAGCTGGGCTGCACCTTGTTCAAAAAAGATTGCTAAAGCATAAGCTACACCAGTTACACAATACACAAGGCAGAGCAGAACAATGTAGTTATCAGCAAAGCTAGATCTTGGGTTGGTAAAGAAGTAGAACATGGACAGATACACTACAGGTTTGATCAGTGTATTAAAATGGTCAATTGTATCCTTAGCGAGAAAATAAGCCAAGCTGCTCATCCCAGAAGCGCTCTCTCTCCAATAGTGTAATCTGTCCAGAGAAAATGACCTCAAAGCCGCAATTTTACACAGTAGAGCTGAAATCGCAACAAGACACATGGTAAGGAAGAAAAAACTTTATGCATATTCATAATGGAATGGAAGTAGAGTTGGCATTAACTATTATATTGATCCGTCAAAGTCAAAATCGACATCAAAATATAATGTAGGTATGCATCTTTTAGGCAGTAGTATGTAGTTTTTTATATTAATCAGTAAGACAATATGAATTTCTCTTATAGGAAAAATACCAAAAGACAGATTTACAGTTCTGTGCCCAAGGAGAGAGAATAACTACGGAGACTAAGCTGCCTCCTCACCACGAGGATTTGATCGATCTTTCATACTGACACCCGGATATACTATATTTACTAAACTACTTGTAACTTTGAGGTTCTCATGTGTAGATAAAGAACGAAACTTAATAACTTGTGATTGATTGTACTTACAAACTGCAATGATAGTATAAGTGTAACCAACTGCACCAAAGGTCTGATCGCTCACATTAGCAAGTGATCCTAAGCAGGCTCCAGCAAGTAATAAAATCAAATAATCGACTGCTTGTATACGAGCTTCCCGAAGTCTCTGCTTACCAACTCTGACATGACATCAATATAGAGAATATCAAACTCTTGGCAATAAAAGAAAAATTGTAATAAAGAAATTAAACGAAGATTTCAATAAACCAATTATCTGAAGAAAAAAAATTGTAAAATTTGAATGCACCTGTACTATCTTGATTGTTTACCTGCCCAGGAAGTATCTGTATTGTTGGAATAAACCTGGAGTTCTCCGGTTTGATAAATCCTTGGACTTCAGGAAATTGAGCCGTATCTTATCACGATGCAGTTCCACAGTACCTTTCACATCTTGCCATAACTCTCCAGCAAAAGACTGTTCCGCCGTTCCAGCACCAGAAGGATTTGTTTCATGATTTAAATTTTCATCCATTGAGAACAATTCAAGTCTAGTGGCATTCTGTGTCATATCAGGGGGTACTGAGTACCCATTATGAAGCATCCATCTGACGGGAAGCTCTTCATAACTAACTCCCGAGCTTCTTTCCGTTGCTACCATACCCTCCAAAATGTCAATGAAGTGGTCTGGAGGGTTGACACGGTCTGGGACTTTGATCCCAAGGCCTGCAAAGTATTCTTCTACTTTCTTTGCTGATCCATGATAGACAGTAAGACCACCTTTTGCAAGGAGTACCAAATCATCAAACATCTTGAACAACGCATAGCTGAAGCAGAAATTTTTTGCATTAATGAATTGCAGAGAGTACTTATCCTATGAAAGAACACACTTGACCATATATGATGAGTTCTATATCTCTTTAACCAAGGGTATGCATTAAAGCTTCTTGGAACATTCAAGGATCCAACAACAAGTA